CACCTGAAAATGTCCTAGACAAAAACTCCAGGAGTGGCCCCAAGTGATGCGTGTGTTCTGGCCGATACAAGGATCAGGAGCCAACAACTTTACCCAAACATCAACTTGTGTGAGGTGCTGTTTGTTTAGGTGCCGTTTCGGGTGCAAACCCTTAAGCCTCATTCCTGGCTGTCGTGACTTCCTTCGCTCTTTTTGAAGGGAGCTGTGCTGAGCGCAGGCCGTATCGTCCAGAATGACATTGAGAACATCCCCTTCGGATTCTAGGTAGGCCTTTGGGAGATTATGTAAGTTTAAGTATTTGGCTTAAGAGGATCAGGTTTAGGAATAGTTGTCTGCCAACCTAGGATTGGTCTTCATCTGGGGCGCAGCTCTGTGCATCCTCGGTGTCCGCAGCTCTATGAAAGACGCATCATCGATGTGCCTAGGCTTCGGCTCTCCAGTACTACTTCCTTCATGCCCCTTTGTTTCTGGAGTCTCCTTACCAAAACGAAGGCCCCAAAACCCTAAATGGGTAGTCATCTAAATTAGGTCCTCTTTCGGTACTCTTTATTAGGCTGCCGCACTATTTCTGTGACCTAGCAATCGGGCCTGATTTTGGAGAACTACTCAAAACTAAATCCTAAAGCCTTAAGGCGAGATCTCCTTGTTGGGATTAAGGTGCACGGCACACATCATCCTGTCGGGCATCTTCGCCACGGCGCGTGTGGCCCACTCGATTGTCTACATCCTGGGCTTTGCTCTGCCTAGGGGTGCTACTGGGTTCTGTTTAGGGTTTAGGGGTTCCGGTCTAGAGTTGAGGGTTTCAGGGTTTAGAGTTGAGGTTATGAGCTGAGGGGCTTAAGGTTTAGGTGTTGCGGGGTTTGGGGTTTAGGGTTGCTCCCCGGGGTGCTTCTAGGTTTGGTGGATAAATTTTACGGTTTGGGGTTCAGCTAGGGTGTGGTTAGACACGTTCAAAAAAACTGCGCATTTACTGTAGAACGCAGTATGGCTCCCTTGAGCTTAGGTTCATGGAAAACTTAGTATTCGTAGTACGGCAACTCTAGCTTAAGTTCGTTAAGACGAGCTGAGGGTATCTTCGTGCTTGGCACCTCGTCCCTGTTCGGCTTGGGAATCCTTGGCATCATTGCAGCTTTCGAGATCACGATATGAGCTACGTGAGCTCCTATGTGCTCAGTTTCTGAAGAGCAATGCAGCTAATGTGATGCACGCTGTACAGACCGCGGACCACTCACTTGTGGGATTTGCTCAAAGGTATTTGCAGCACACTCACCGACTCAGATTCCTTTCGGCGGCTTAGACCGAAGGTGTTCCGGCACCCTCGCCCGCGAAAGAGCAGGTGCGAGAGTGTTGGAAGGCTGATATCCCGTCGGTGCTTCAAAAAGCATCCCTAAACGCTAAACCCTAAACCCTAAACCCATGACCGCAGTCGCTGGTGTCTTTGCGATGGCACTTTGCTATGTCACCCTTGCCCTCACAACCTGCTTCTTGACACAACCTGCGAACCGCGACCCGCGCTGCCACGGTAGATCAGAGACGTCCCGGGGAAGGGGTATGGGGTCGGGAGGGTTTTGGGGTTTGGGTCGCCATGGACTCCTACTCTGCGAGGTCCGGGAGCTCGTGCTTTGACTTCTGAGAAACCCTAAAATCGGGGGGCCTAAATAATTACCAACACTATTTTGGGGGTTTATTATGAGTAATTATAGTATAATGGGCCCCAAAACCCCGGTCTAATTATTAAGGCCCCTATATCAGGCCCTGAATCTAAATCATAAGGCCTTAGCTTCCCTAACCTAGGCTTCCCTAAAACCCCTACAGCCTTACTATAGGGGCCTAAATAATCCTATATTATTTTGGCCAACACCCTATTCTAAGTATAAAGGCGCCTACATCAAGTCCTAAGCCCTTGACGTGCTTCATCCACGGCCTGCAGGGGGAATAGTATCTTCTGCACCTTCGTCACGGTGCTGGGGACCACCGCCGTCTTGAACCACCTCTCGCCGGGGTCCTCGGATCAACCAGATAGCCGAACCCCGAGCGCAGGGGAGTTTGACAAAAAGGGACCTCAATAATGTAGTTTCGGAACCAGTAGTAGGATTCTTGTCTGAGGCACCCACCAGAAAAGGTCTCAACACTCAACCCGAGGCGTACTGTGCAGGACGCTTCCCATGAAGCAGAAAACCCTCGAATCCCAGAGCCTGAAAGCCTTAAACCCCTTAGATAGCAACGGGGAGAGCTTTGAACTTGTCGGCCTCATATGTTTGGGCCCGCGATAGAAAAGATTGAACCTTTTCTGGGCCCGGTTGCTACAGAAGCCGAAATAATTACCAACGTTGTTCCTGAGGATCCTTATTATGCTTATACTATAAAGGAGCCCAAAACCCCATTCTATTTATTAAGGCCGCTACATTATTGGAGACATGAGACCCAGGACGTTCCTTCCCATGAAGCAGTTTGATGTTCAAACATCGGGCACCGTGAAAATGAACAAGGCCTGGCCTGGGACCATAGTAATAGTCATAGAAGTAACTATATAAAATAATGCGTAGCAGTCATCATCATATTTATTGTAGTAATCACAAGGAACTGAGGAGTAGCAATCAACATCACAGCAGGCATATTTCTAGTAGCAATCATACGCATAGAAATCGTCTTCATAGTAGTCAGAGTACTCCTAAGACTAGTAATAACAGTGTAAGAGTAGTAATAGCAAAGGCACCGATGCAGCAGACTTTTGTGTCACCACGATGCTTGCTCATAATGAACATCGGTCTCTCCTCAGTTCTTATTGTTATTGCTATTGTTATTGTTATTGTTATGGTTATTGTTATTGTTATTGTTATGGTTATTGTTATTGTTATTGTTATGGTTCTTGTTGCTGCTCTTGCTGTTGCTGTTGCTGTTGCTGTTGCTGTTGCGGTTGCGGTTGCAGTTGCGGTTGCGGTTGCGGTTGCAGTTGCGGTTGCTGCTGCTGTTGCTGTTGCTGTTGCTGCCGCTGCTGTTGTTGTTGTTGTTGTTGTTGTTGTTGCTGTTGTTGTTGTTGTCGTCGCTTGCAGCTGGAGTGGTTGATGCAATGTAGCTTGATAGTCACAGATGCAGAAACACAAGGAAATACACGGCAGCAAAGACGAAGGCCGCAGGTTGCATATGTCTAAATATGAGTTCGATGCTAGATTCTATCTTATTCGTTCATATACATAACAAACTGACAAACAGTTAGGTAAATCCATCGATCGATAATATATATATATATATACATATATATATATATATTATTTACACTCGCAAAGGTATGTGTGCGTATGCAAGTATGTATGTATGTATGTATGTATGTATGTATGTATGTCTGTACGTACGTACGTACGTACGTACGTACGTATGTACGCATGTACGTATGTACGCACGTATGTATGTACGTATGTATATGTATGTATGCA